CTCCCTAACCTCCTACCAGTTTTTCCGAAATTTCCTTCTGGTTTTTCCCCAAAATTTTGCTGTCGAGCGGAGGGGGAGGGGGAGGTCGTCAGGATTTAACTATCATTTTCAACTATCGGAAATAGTAGTTGTATAGATCTTTGGCAGTCCCTCTCTCAACAACGGCCAACCTCCCCCCTTATACCGTCCGTGAAACAAGAGAAATCAACTACTAAAAAAATTTTCTCATACCAAATACGACCCCCCCCCCCTGCCTCGCGGTCAAACACGACAGCCCCGTTGGGAGTTCGCTAGTAAAAACAATAGCAATAACTGTAATTATGACAGAAATAATGGAATACAGATAAAATAATTGTTCAGACAAAGGACAAAAATAAAAACAACAAATAAAGAAGAAATAAACAAGTAAAAAGTAAAATAAAAATAAGGATGACGAAGGAAGAAAAACGAAAAAAAAGCGATTATTCTCACTTATAATTGACCAGGACATTTATGAAACCATTCAATTTAACGGCGACTTCCCGTTGTCTCTTCGTCGTTGAAAGCAATTTGAAGGAAAAAGCCCGACTCCATAAAAACCGCATGTGAGAGCAATTTATGAGTTATAACCCTGTTATGAATTATGGCAGAACAGAAAACTAGACGATTTACACAGAACACACCTAAATCCACATCCATTTTCGAACTCGATGGAACGGCGGCGGCGGCAGCGGCGGCAGCAGCGGCGGCGGAATCGGAAACAATCCGTTCTTGAGCCGTAGTTTGGTGCGAAAATGTAGTGTGATCGGCGGCCGACGGCTGAAAGCAACGTCGTCAGCGGTGATCGATTCGTCGCGGGGCGACGTCGCCACGCGGCATCTACATAAAGTGCATAAAAAAAGGTTGACGATCAGCAAAATAGAGCGCCTTCAAATGCAGCGCTGAGAACGAGAGCAGATAGAAAACATGCGGAAAGAGAGGGACTGAAGGGCGTTTCAGGTACGAGTTTCTTCTAGGTCAACAGAGAAAGTGAGTAGGGTAATCGAGAGCGTTGAGATGGTTGACCTCCTACAGGAGGGATCTGATCTAGAGAGAGGTGGGAAGGGGATAAATAAAAAAGAATAAAGTCTATGCAGTTGATCATTCCTTTTTTGGGATGCGACACGCATTCTTCTTCCATTCAGAATCGTAGTGGCTGATTGAATGGGGGCTGTGGCCTATGCAATGGCTTACGGGAAGGGGGGACAAATGAAGTACAAGTCAGTGTTCTTACCCTTCCAGATGAATCTGGTACCAATTTACCTTCCCCAGATGGATAGAAGGCTTGGTTGGCCTAGAGCCGATCCAGGATTTGATCACGCTCGTGTGAGCGTGCCACTTGCTACTACCCACCTCCGCCTCATAGGGGAAGGGGGTACTCGAGAATATCCTTGGGTATTTCCTCTTTGGAGGAAGACCGATGATAAAAGCGCTCCAGTAAGCCCAATCCAATGCTAGGGCGTGTTATTGACGAAAAATTTTGCAACATGGGACCCTATTTTCAAAATTTCCGCCCTCTGATACGATATCCCTTCCCCATCCTACTTACCATCTTCCTGGATTCTTTCAACTTCCTACCGCTTTTCCTGTTTTTTTCAGAGACTCTCCAGTTCTCGCTTTCCTTGAAAAACCTGGAGAATTCCTGGAGGGCGAGATATAGCGAGCATGAAACGGAAAAATTGAGAAAAATCAACAACCGATAACATTTTTCTCAGAGAAGAATACAAATCTCTGCCCTCAGCGATCGAACACGGCCCCCTTGCTGGAGATCCCCACCTACGACGCGCCCGTACCGGGCTACATCACCGCTGTGGTATCCCCATTAGGGAAAGGGTAGGACGGGAGAGC